TATTGGAAACATGATCGGACAAGTTCTGTGGATTTCTGGAGACCTGAAACTAGAAGTTTTATATTCTCATTTCCTAACGGTGAAACAATAGATAATGCAATTTTAAGTAGAATTAATCCATACTATACCAAGTATGCGATGTTTATTAGAAAAATCGGAGGACCAGAATTCGGCAGTCATGATTTCTACATGAGCGATGAATTCGACTCAAAATATGGTGTAAGATGTAGGAAAACATACTATTTAAAGAAAATACGAGATAGCGAAGAGAGTTTTGCAGTGGATGAATATGAATTATTTAGATTGGTTCGAAAGTGATCACAGCTTAACTATATATAAATGTATATAATTCTTATGATTAGATTTTGCCGCCTCTATTTTTTGAAAATAAAGCTTTTATTTTAGGATTAGTGTCTCCATTCTGTGCAATGATGGGCCTATATAATATTATGAACTATCAAGGTCATCTTGTCACATTAAAAAATATTAATATGACTTTGACCTATTAATATAATAAATTATATTTAGGTTCCAACAGCTTATTATGATAGTGCTTGTATATGGGGTGAGTCAACAGAAATCAAGCAAATTTTTAATAATAAAAATTTTTTGTAACTTTAAACAAGAATAACTTAACAAAACCTTGACCAAATAATTTTTACAAACTTATAGAATTAATTTAAAAAAAAATTTATTAAATTTGATCAAGTTTTTATTAAATTATCCTTGTTTAAAGTTTTTAAAAAACTTAATTAAAAAATATTTGCTTGGTTTCTATTGACTCAACCCCATATATTGTCTAACTGTTATGTAGTCATGTATTTGTATGCGTAAAAATTATTAAGTTTACGGCGCACTTGCGATATGGCTTATCACAATGCTTTAAGTTTTTGCTGCATCTCTAGCAGGGCACGTAACATTTTGATGTTTGTTATGCTATTTTATCGGATAATACTCGTGGAATAAATGCGAAATACTACGTATAGCTGATAGGAGTTTTGACTAGTGATGCGATGCGTATATTACGGATAACGCAAAATCAAACCTTTATCAGTACTAATTGATCAGTTATCAGCTATTCATGTGAATAAAAAAAAACGCTAGGTATTCTCCATGGAGAAATTCGAATTCTGTGTACATGGGGGTTATTCGTCGTTTTGTGATTCAGTTCATGTACGTACGTACGTATGTCTTCCATATCAGATATCTGATATCAGATATCGAGGTTTAACGTCGTGATCCGCTTTGGTAAACTTATCTTTGTGCACCAACTCTATTAATTATCGGGAGAAAAAAAATTTGTTATACTAACATGTCGGCCAATTTGATCTCTTAATATAATGTCAGATAGCAAAGTTCATGACTATTCAAACGAAGACCGGAACATTTTGGGTTTTTTAAATGAAAGTAAATATATATAGAAAGTCTTGAGCCAATTAATGACAACGAAAAAGGAAATAAGAAAAAAAAAGCACAACTTCTCCTTGATAGGTATAGGAAGGCAAGTTATTGGAGTGCAGATGTAGTAATTGGCGTGACGGGAATATTCACGTTTCCTTGTCATTCAGTTTAGCCATAAAACCAGCGTTGGGGAACAGGTATAGATGGGTGCCGAAATTCCAAAAGGGAATTGCAATAATATCACTAAATTATTAATTATTGTTTTAATTTCCTTTTTGAATTTCGGCACCCATCTATAGGCAAAGGTAATCTTTAGGCTTGCCTGATGTTCAAGTCTTTAGGTTGACCCAATGTGGTCCCATTGGGCACAGGTATCTTTAGGTTAAACCTTTAGGTCGATCCAATGGGATGATATGTTGGTGAAGTCGAGAAAATGTTAAATTAATTACTAACTCTAAAAGCTTTTGTTAGAATACTTGACCTGACTACAAACAAGCAAAAGAATGAGAGGATAATTATATGAAATATAAATAATGGAACATTTACTGGACAGTCAGAAAGAATTGTTTCAAAAAAACCTAGAAGAGATACGGACGCGCATTTTTTAGCTGGAAGTTGAGAATCAACAAAGCTGGTTACTTTGTATATTAATACTTTAGGATGATTATGAGCGAAATCAAATGAGGATGGGTCGCGAATTTCACCCTACCCTCGTGTGACGATCATAGCAGGTTATCATGAAAATTTTTTTTAAAATGATTTGCGAATCTTTTGATATGTGAATTACAGGAATTTATAGAAGAGTGTTGCTTTTCACTGTTCAAAATAATCCCAAAATAATCCCAAAAACAGAGAGAGGACTTTATTTAAAAATGAAAATGACTATATGCATTATTACATTTGCCAATCAAACAAGCAATTAATAAAATGGGAAAAAAGTAACCAATAACATTACTGTATTGTCAAAGGCCAAACTTTGTCAAAGCTATTATTTAAGTGATCTTTTGACTTCATTTATAATAACAATATACTAAGTCTATTAAACTGTGAAGGTAACTGGAAACTAGGCCTCCACAGAGACGAATAATAGCAATACCCTAGCCCAGTAATGGGAATTGGACATGCCCAATTAAATTTTTTGATTGGGCTGTCCAAAATATTTTGAAATTAGTAATAATATACATATAAATGACAGAAAGAGAAAACCTGTAATTCTTAATAATATAAAAAAATTCATATTAATTTGTTTTTTAGGGCTACAGGTTTCTCTGCATATAATATTCATATATTTTTTTTTAAAATAAATAATGATTAATATAAAGTATTTTATATTATATATAATAAAAAAAGAATTATTATAAAATGCATCTATGGTGTTTTTACACCTATGTATAATTTCTTTTAATAAAATTTAGGGTTAGGGTCAGGAAATTAAGAATTTTTTTTTTTTTATATAATATATTATAGAGCTACTATAAGGGCCCGATAGGGCCCGATCTCAGTTCTCATGAGGTTTTTGGGGGTCCTGAACATTTTTACTTAGAGGACCCGATCCCGTTTACTTAGTACTAGGCCTCCGCATGGGCCAGGTAATAGCAATGCCCTAGCCCTACCCCTACCTGTTTGTGT